CTCAAATGCAGGCTTCGTGGGTAGAGTACCCGATCAGCTGGGGAATCTCTCTGCCTTGCTCTACCTCGACCTTTCTTATGACGGAGATGATTTCTCTGGAAACTTGTTCATCGAAAACCCTGAATGGATCTCTCGGCTCGCTTCACTTCGGCGTCTGAATTTGAATTCAGTCGATTTTAGAAGTGCGTCCAACTGGTTACGAGCATTGAACGCCCTCCCTCATGTTCGAGAAGTTGAATTGTCTAGCTGCTACTTGGGAACCTTACCTCGTTCGCTTCCTCATGTCAACTTCACATCTCTCACCAGACTTGATCTTGGAAATAACGATTTCAACTCAGGCATACCAGATTGGTTGCTTAATGTAACTAGTCTTCAGTACCTTTACCTTGCTTACAATTCTCTCTCGGTCTTCCTTCCTGCCATTGCCAAGCTGACATCTCTCAGGGCACTCGACTTGTCCGGAAATTTGTTCCACAGGGGCTTTATACCGAGAGCTCTGTCCGACCTCTGCAAGCTCCAAAGCCTCCAACTAAGTGACACGTCTATCAACGATTCGCTAGTCAATTTGGAAGTGGCTTTCTCTGGATGCCTTGGGTTCAGCTTGGAGGAATTGGACCTTGGCTCCACTCGGCTTGGAGGTTCCATGCGAGCAGATTGGTTAGGAAACATGAAGAATCTCAAATATCTTGATCTTTCTGAGAATTCGCTCCATGGTTCAGTGCCTGATTCTCTTGTCAACCTGTCATTGCTGCAATATTTGGATCTCAGTTACAACAATTTGAATGGGTCGATTCCCGAAGGCCTCGGACAACTGAAAAGCCTTGTCTATTTGTTTCTCTCCGGTAACTCAGTGAACTTGTCTGAAGTCCACTTGGCTAATCTATCAAGTTTAAAGTATTTGGATATTTCTTTCATCACGTCGTTCCTGATGGAAAGCCATGATTGGACTCCTCCTTTTCAACTTATATCACTGGGAATGGCTTTCTGCCAAGTAGCACCGAGGCCTCATTTTCCAGTATGGCTCCAAACACAGAAAGATCTTTATTACTTAGATTTGAGGAATGCAGGAATCAAAGAGACGATCCCTAATTGGCTTCCTTCCAGTCTCGGGCTTTTACTCCTCTCCAATAATGAGATTACCGGCGAGGTGCCACAGTATTTGCCGAATCTAATAGCTATGGAGCTCTCAAATAATTCCTTCTCGGGCCGTCTCCCTCCAGGTATCTCAAACACGATGCCAAACTTGCGCTTACTTGACTTATCCCGGAACAATCTGAGTGGCACAGTCCCACTCTCTATTTGTCGAATTAAGTATTTGGAGATACTTGGACTCTTCCAAAATAACCTCTCAGGAGAGCTTCCCAGTTGTTGGAAGAGTTCTTCACTTCTACAAGTGCTAGATGCATCAAACAATAAATTACAAGGAGGAATTCCTGATTCCCTCTGCAATTTGCAGCGGCTGCAATCACTACACCTGAGCCACAATAGTTTATCTGGGCAGGTCCCTTTTTGTTTAAGAAGATGTACGAGCTTGATTACCCTTGATCTAGAACACAACAAATTGATCGGAAGTATACCGGATTGGAGCAAAGAAAGCCTCCTGAAGCTGAAGGCACTCAGCTTAAGCTCTAATGCCTTCAATGGTAGCATTCCTCAATTTTCTCATCTTCCATCCCTTCAAATATTGGATCTTTCAAACAACAACCTTTCCGGAACTATACCACGAAGCTTTGGGAACTTCCGTGCTATGGAACTCTCCTTTCATCCAGATTACAATAGTGATGATGAGTTTTGGGACGACCACATGATGCTCTTCATGAAAGGAAGAGAATACTATGGTACTGATAAGTCCGTAAGAATGGAACAGATAATTTATAAGAAAACGTGTAGAGTCCATTACTGATCTGTCTTGTTTTTAGCTTAATATATCAAGAACCATGGACTTACAAAGCTAATAAGAATGAGACAAATTGCTCATCTTATCTTGCTTAATTATGTAAGAATGGAATAATTAGTCAAAAAGAAAGCACGTGGTGATCACTTATGCTTTTTAACTTAATTTACAGATGACTGTGTTTTTGGTAAGTGAAAATGATGCGAGTGGGGAAGCCATCTACAACGAGTAGTCCATATTAAACTTCACAAGAAGCAATCATGCGAGTGCCAGTGCTCAACAATAACGTTCCATATATATATATATATATATATATATATATATATATATATATATATATATATATATATATATATATATATATATAAGGGCTCTCTGTCATGGATCGGACCTTAAACTGAAATGAGCAACCGAATGACTTCATGACATCAACTAATCCAAGAAGATCTAAATTCAAACACGACGGACCTAAGTGATAACATAAACGAGTCGTATACAAACGATTTGAGAAACATCGCCCAAAAACATGGACCGACGACGATCATAAAACAAGAGAAGGAAAGAGTTGTATACACACGATTTGATCATATTAAAGGGTAGTTCCTCAAGCAGAAACCGTTTTACGAACAAGTTTGGAACATAACATTACCCATATAACCATTACATACGATCCTCAAGCAGAAGGAAGCTTATTCAGTGGCATTCAAGCAGTCAATAAAGATGTGGACATCTAATAATACAAACTCACCGTGGGCAATGATGCGACCACATAAATTCTTTCTCTAAGGTATAATTCCTGGATGTATATTGATTTGCTTGGTCGACGACTTCAGAGAAGGCATAAGGTGAGTCTCTTGGTGGATGCTCTGTTTCTTCGTCAACTTTTACCAAACAATGTCCTGTTTTTTTCAGTCTGATCCTTCTCAAGTTCTGTACTTTATACTCCACCTCTTTCATCGTAGGTCGTTTAGCCCCTTTCAATCTTAAACACATTTCTACCAATCCAATCATGTCGATGAGCTCTTCTTCGGTTGCTTCTTTCATAACAAGATCATCTATAAGATCAAAGCGATGATTTTCTCTCACCGTTTGAAGAAAATGCATAGATAGATTTAGTCTGTCCTCACATTCGGTGGAGAAAATTGGCTTTTTACCTGTTAAAAGCTCTAGAAGAATGACTCCGAAGCTATAAACATCGCTCTTCTCTGTCAATTGACTGGTATGATAGTACTCCGGGTCAAGGTATCCAAAGGTGCCTTGTACACCAGTGAGTAAATGAGTTTGGTCGAGTGGAATAAGTCTTGAAGATCCAAAATCTGATATTTTTACAGTTAAATGATCATCTAAGAGCACATTTGATGATTTGACATCCCTATGAAATATCGAAATTGAAGCAGCCGAGTGTAAATAAGCAAGTGCTCCAGCAGCCTCAACAGCAATTCTCAAGCGATCATCCCATGATAATATAGAGTTACCATTTGGAATATGGAGATGATCTAAAAGAGTCCCATTCGAGATAAACTCATAGATCAATAAGGGAACTTCAGTTTCCAAGCAACACCCGAAAAGCTTAACTATATTCCTGTGATTAATCTGAGAAAGAACTGCAACCTCATTGATGAACTGGTCTATCTCACTTTGTTTCATATATTTAGATTTTTTTACGGCGACTACACGTTGATCTGACAAAATTCCTTTGTAAACCGTTCCATGTCCGCCGCGGCCGAGCACTCGAGTCTCATCAAAATTATTAGTTGCCTTCTCCATCTCTTCCAGAGAAAATATCTTTGTTTTCTCACTAATATCTTCAGTAGACGAGATTAATTGTTGTAGCAGTAAACCATGGTTCTGATGGAAGTATTTTTCTCTAGTTTTCTTTTGTTTTCTTTTTTTCCATTTCCTTCTCAGGATGAGGAGACTCGAACATAAGAGTAATAGGCCTATGCCGTTGCTTGCACCAATGATGACACCTGCACAGTATCAATCATAAATTTAGCTCCTTAAAAACACTCCTTTAATTCTATTTTCTACGATATATGTGGATAAAGGATTGTCAATGACCTCAATGTCATCCTTTCGATTTCCATTATTCGATTATGCACCTTTTGCATCGTTATAAGTAAATTAGTCACAATGCCTTACCTAACAGAAGAGTCTGCTTTTTGTTGTTAGGAATGCAGGGTGCAAGTTTAGGATCACCATATGTGCCGGCTGCACAAGTGCAAGTATATCCGCCATCCGTATTAGTACAAATCCCATAGCAAAGAGGTTTCTCGGTTGAGTTGCACTCATTGATATCTAGACAAGTCATTAGAGACAAAAGGAATTATAATTTGCTCATCAAATTACAATAAACAAATTGATAGTAAAGAAGGACAACAAACAAGTATTTGATTTGATTCTGTGTTCAGTAGATATCTGTTCCTATTGACTATAAGTATCTGTTTGTTCTAATTGACTAATGTTATTATACACTGACTCTGTCTAACTATAGTACAGTTTTGAGTTTTTTTTCTAAAGAGATAGATACGGATGAATTTTATTTGCTAGATAGAGGTATGTAGAAAGAGGGACTATCCTTTCTTGCAAGGTGATTGCTGTGAAAGAAGATTTGTAAACTATTGTCTAAAATAAAGTCAAAATGGTTCATACAAAGATCAGACTCGAAGATTTTGGTATAAATTCTATGCAAGACTTTGCCCATCCATTCAACAATACGAAATTTAGTCAAGAATATTTAACATATACTTGAGCGTTTTGATTCCTTTCTTGTGTCTTATATACATAAAGAAGGGAATGAACTTGCTAAATGACTAACTTTATATATATATATATA